GTCTAGGCCTAGCTTGGCAATGGATGCCTTTATAAACACTTGTCACTGGGCTTCGGTTTGTCGCGGCAAGATGTGTCCAAGCTCCCAGTTCTTACATAGGTCTGCTCAGGCTCTGTGCTTTGTTGAAGGTATTCCCAGCATGTACTTGCTCACCTGAGCTGTGGCCCTCCTTACTGCCCAGCTGTCACAGTGTTCCTCCTCCTGTCTGTTGGCTTTATTTTGGGTCAGGGCTTTGTGCAGTCTCGCTATCCTCAAGTTCTGTGTGGCCAAGGATGACTGAACTCTTTTGTGCTTGGGGTCATTCATTCTTTCTTCTCTTTTCTGCAAGATTTGTTTATTTTTGTTTTATGTGTATGAGTGTTTGCCTATGTGTATATCTGTGTGCCGTGTGTGTGCTTGTGCCTGTGCAGACCAGAAGAGGGTGTTTGGTCCTCAGGAGCTGGAGTTATCAGGCCATTGTGAGTCATGCTATGGGTGTTGGGAACAAGTGCTCTTAATCCAAGTCATCTCCAGACCAGGTGGTGGGTCCCTGAACTGTCTCGGGATGCTCCCGCCGTCACATGGGTCCTCTGTCCTGCAGGGTCCGTTGCTGTTCAGTCTTTCTCTTGCCGTTACTTCACTGTCCCTCACACCCAAGGACCTCCTGTCCTCCAGTCTCTTGTCTTGTCTTCCTTCAGGGTAGATGACACTTTTCTCGCTGTAGCAAAAGTAGGTGCCAGTGCATATTGCTGGGGCCCTAGAGGGAAAGCTTTTTCACCAGGTCTCTGGGAAGGCCCTGTGGGTATTGGTGGTATACCTACATGTGGCCTGATTCTGACCAGATGCCAGTGGGGCTCAGATTGTCCCTGATGCTACAGAAACCTGGGCACATAGCAAAGCCTGGTGGCACAGGTGACCCAGGGGAGGGCAGGAGAAAAGCCCATAGGACACAGCGGGTACCAAAGAGCTCTGAGGAGAATGTGACAGAGCTGGGTGTATGCACTGAGCAGTTTGTAGTATAGAGAAGTGTAGAATTTGTGCAGAAGTGGAGAGCACTGCCAGCTGCCGACTTGCCTGCAGCGCCTTTTCGCTACTCCCACAATGTTTGGACATGAGCCCTGGCGACTCAGCTGGCTCAGTGTGTGACCTGTAAACAGTCCACTGCGTGTCTGTAGGAGATAAGACTGATGCCTCATCAGGGCGTCTGCAGACCTGCACTGTGCTTCCTGGTACCTCATAGATGGTCAGCCTGTCTGAAGCAGTGGCTGAGGGTAGAACTCAGGGCCTCTTACATGCCAAGTACATGCACTGTTATTTATCCTCACCCAACCCAGGTGTGTGTCTGACTCTGTTTGTATCTGTATGTCTGTGTGTGTATCTGTCTCTTTTTCTCTGTGTGTATCTGTGTTTGTCTGTCTGTCTGCCTATATGGTTTTTCTGCTTTGTATCTATGTTTTACTAGTCCATTTTGCTCAGGATTTAAATCAGCAATCAGGACAGGTCTTGGCTCTTTGGCTGGGTCTCAGAGGCTCTTTTTCCCCTCCCCTCCCTTCTCCTCTCTCTGCCACCTCCCATCCTTGTTCACTCTTTTTCAGTGATGCTGCTTGTCACATAAGGGCATGATGCTGAGGATGGCCCCATTACAGCATCTCTTGTGAACTTGCAGTCATTTCAGGCCACACTCAGAATTATCTGACTGCTAACTGTGAGTCTGTGAACCAGGCTCGCAGCATACCGGGGTCCTCGTGGTGGCTGCTGTTCTCACAGTCGGGGGGGGGGGGGGGGGGGGGGGGGGGGGGGGGGGGGGGGGGGGGGGGGGGGGAGATGGGCTCAGGTGCTTGGGGCCAGCCTGTCCCAAAGCCCTTTCTCCTGAGCTTTGTGTACTCCTGGCCTCCTTGGCACCAGCACTGGTCTGGCCAGTTGGGTGGCATTGCAGTTGTCTAAGGCTAGAGAGATGCTGGCTCGCTGCCCACTGTGGCGAGTACAGATGGCTGCAGTGCATACACGAGGGGCCTGTGCTGAAGCTGCTTGGAGTTGACGCAAATTGGGGGTCGACTGAAGTGTCTATGGGCCTTAAACTTGGGGGATGGTTAGCACACTGCTGGCCCTCATGTCCTGGAGTGTAGCTCTCAGATGCTGCGTCCTCAGGGAGGCCCCTGTCTCCCTCTGTCATCCCTCACCTGTCCTGAGTCAGCAGGGGTGACTAAAGTGGAGAACAGGGCTCAGCCAGGAAGGAGCTTGCCATACTGGCATGAGGACTTGAGTACTGGGTGTGTGTTGTGTGTCTATAATCCCTATGCTCCGATAGAGACCAAGGGTAAGTTCCAGATTTGGTGAGACCCTGCCTCATAAAATAGGGTACAGAGTAACTGAGGAAGACATTTTACACACACACACACGTGTGTGTGTGTGTGTGTGTGTGTGTGTGTGTGTGTGTGTGCACATGTCCAAGAACCCTTTTCCCCCTGTTGGGCCAGCTCTGCACAACCGTTCAAGGCACTGCCAGAGAGCAGCAGCTGGAAACGATGGGGTGCAGTTTGCCTGACCCTCCCGTTGGTGACTAAACTGGTGGTTAGTCCTCTTTTCTCTTCCCGTCACTGTCTCTGAGCCCCTCCCCCCACTTTGTTTGCTGAACACCCAAGGTATCCGTTTGGTGCTGTCCATTCCCACCCACTTGGGGTACTGGTTCATCTTGTGAGCAGTTTTTCTCAGTTGGGCACTGGATCCTGAGGCTCGATGGTCCCAAGGGCACTGTCTGAGCTCACAGACCCTGTGCTGCACAGTAGCAACTCCCTCTTCTGTCAGTCCTCCTTGGCCCGCTTGTTTCCCTGATGTCCATTTTATAGGGAATGCAGGTTGACTGCCTGGTCATCTCCACAGCCAGACAGGACCCCTCTGTGAATGGAGTGATATCTGGGACCCAGTTAAGGATGGCCAGTGGAGGGAGTCAGTGCAAGATGCTGGCTTCTTGTCGCATCTGTGCTAGCCTGTCCCCTTATCTTCTGCTTCGTGTTGTGGCCAGAACAAGAGGTGGGCACAGTCCCCATTCATCTAGGCCAGCCTGTCTGTTCCACAGGCTCTGCAGAAACCCACGTCCAAACGTGAGGTCGCCATCCTCAAGGTTATCCTCACCCCTGTTGCCTGCCCTTCACTGGCAACACTAGAGGACCCATCCAGTGTCAGTGTTAGTGTTAGATGAACAAGGACATCCAGCGGTCACTCTGCTGCTGAGGTTTGTCACATAGCTGACTGGACCTGCTGTGAGTCACCCCGGGTCTCCAGAGCTTACACACCACCATTGAGCAAACTGTGACCTACATATCCCCAGGAAACCAGGGAGACCCTGCCCCTCCCCTCACCTACTGGAGGAGCACTTGGCAGACTGGGGCCTGCCCTGCTGCCGCTCACAGAGGTGTCCTGTCCTGCGGCCTGACTTTCTGTGTGAGGTGTTGTTGTTTGCCAAGATTGCTTTTGTTTTCTTGGGAGCTGAGTGTTTACTTTTAAATCTCACTGGTTAGCTAACATGTAGCTCACTGTGGGTTTAAATTTCCCGCTGCTGTCATTTGTTGAGCTGGGCCCATCTCCATAGAATTGGAAGTGGGGAAGTGGGGCCAAAGGCCTCTTATCCCTCAGGGAGTACTGGTCCTCCATCAGGGATGTTGAAGTATCTGTGCTCTCCCACTAATACATCCAACGAAGAAATCAGAGGGAGGAGGAGCTCTTTGAGGCTGGCCATTGCCTACCCAAGAATCCCAACACCTGGGACTGCACAGACTGACTAGACACTCCCCGCTATGAGTCGGACGGGAGACTACTAGAGCCTCTGGTGTTCGGCTTGGAGGTGTCCACCCTGCGTGCCCAGTACTTGGCTGCTATGTGATGACTACTTCCCATCAGCCATGAATGGCTGCAGCAGTTACAGCTCCCATCTGGGCCTTGGGCATCTTGGATGCCCAGTTTACAGTCACCAGCTCTTGGACCTTCAGGTCTCAGCAGCTTCTGGAACTTTTAGGAACCAGGACTATCCCTCTTTTCTTGTTCCTGGTTGGTTTATGTGTTCCTTCCTTTCTTTTTCTTTTTTTTTTTTTTTTTTCCTTTTTTTCTTTTTTGGTTTTTCAAGGCAGGGTTTCTCTGTAGTTTTGGAGCCTGTCCTGGAACTCGCTCTGTAGACCAGGCTGACCTCGAACTCATAGGGATCCACCTGCCTTTGCCTTCTGGGATTAAAGGCATGTGCCACCACTATCTGGTGTCCCTGGTTTCTTAAACTTGCCACCATCTCCCTCCACCATGTGGGTCCTCAGGCTTGCATGGTCAAGTGCCTGTCTCTGCTGAGCCACTTTCTGGTTGCAAGGTGAGGTGGGTTCTGTTCTGTCTCTCTTCATGTTGCTCTCGAGTTGTACCAGCACCGTTGTTTGATGAGGTTGTTTTGCCTCCATGGAACTGCCCTCACACCCACGTCACAAGTCAGTTGTCTGCCCTGTATCTGGGGATGGGTATCGGTGTGGCAGTGCTCTCCTTATCGTAGCTGTCAGGAAGTGGAATCAGGAACACTGGGAGTTCAAGGCCAGCCTGGAGTGTAGTTTGTTTACACACACCTGGCAGTGGGGCATCTAGTCACCATGAAAATGGTTCCTTGTGGCTTCCACACTACTACACATAAAAAGCCTCTGGGTTTTGGTTTCTGTGGTGGCTCCTGAGGACCTCCTGTGGTAAAACCATGGGATCTGACCCCCATTCCTGCACTGCTCACAGGATTGAGACCCGAGGAGTGTGTTTGTGGGGGTCTGTAAGGAAAGTGCAGGGAGTGCCTTGCTGTATGAAACTTGAAGAAGAGCAACCTCACTGCTGCTTCGCGAGTTGAAGGGGAATCCCAGAGGCTCGGAGCCCTCTTGGGAGCGAAGGGCTCTATTATTAATGGCTGGAGAGATAGGAAGCGTGGGGCAGGCTTGGGAAGGCCCTATCCTGTCCAGTGCTCTGGCTTCCTGCTCACTGCTGATGGAATTCCATGTTCTGTGTTCTAGGAGGAACCGAGGAAGGTCTGCTTCACCTACGACTTGTTCCTCAACTTGGAGGGCAACCCTCCTGTCAACCACCTGCGCTGCGAGAAGCTCACCTTCAACAATCCTACCACAGAGTTTCGCTGCAAGCTGCTCATGGCTGGCGGGGTGAGTGCGCCTGCCCGCCACCTCTGCTCTGTGCTGGCTGCTGGCATGGCTGGGCCTGGGTGGCCCTTAACTGGTGGGGCAGGCAGCAGCCTGAGGACGTGGAGGGGCCCATGGACAAGGGCAGACAACTACGACTCAACTGGCTGCTGAAGGAGAAGGTCGCAAAGCCACTTTCGGTGACCTAAGGTCACAGAGCATACCAAGGTGCTAGCCTAGGCCTGTGATGGTCTGGCAAGGGGTGTGAGAATATGGGGAGGGGCAGTGGGTAGTTTGTATGGCTGCCTATCGTCTTGTATGTCAGTGCACATGTGTGCATGCAGGTTATATGTGGCACCTGCTTAGGAAATCATGGTGTTGTGAGCTGTAAGCACATCATGTGGTGTATCAGGTGCAGAGGTAGAGATGGGTGGGCTGTGTGGTGTCGTGTTGTTTGAGATGTGTGTAAACATAGGACAGAGTATGTGGTAGTGTCTGAGATTGTGTGTGTGTATAGGTATGGGGGTTTGTGGTATGGTAGGACTGGGGCTCTGGTGGTATCTGAGTGTGTGGCTAGCCCTCTTCCCCAGGTTCATGGCAGCCAGCGTATGTTTCTGGAGTCAGGCATCCCCTTTCTCTTGGTTCTGTATAGCCAGGTCTCTCAGGAACTCCCTCCTCAGAATGGAAGTGGTTGTGTCCAGGCAAGGGTTTAAGTGGGTTTCAAACCCTGCGTGCTGCCGATGAAGCTCTCTGACTGCCTATGTGGTGGCAGGGCAGTGGCAGCCTGGGATGGACGTGCAGACACGATACTGCTCTGCATTCAGATCCTGGAATGACTGAGGGTATGTGGGTGTGTGCAGAGGCAGCTCCACCCTCTGCTGCCCTACACTAGGAACTGCGCATCCACAGCGTGTGTGGGCGTCCCCAGGGCCCCAGGTCAGCTTCTTGGGAGCGTCAGCGTCTCAGGCCTCTCCAAGCCTCTCAAGTGCCAGGGGAGGTATTACCCGAACTGTGGAGAAGGTTCTCAGGGCATCACCTGACACAGCATAGGAGGAACAGGGAGGGAAGCTGTGTTCAGCCGGCCTTGAAGAGAAACTGCAGTGAGGTCCTAGAGTGCTCCTAGGGAGCTGGCCAGCCAGACACTTTCGGCCTCAGGTTGCCTGGCTATGGGACGATGGCTCTCAGGTGACTCCCGGGACCAGGTAACTGTGACTCTGTGTTGTTGGCCTTATGGGTTGTGAATGTCTGTAAGGGTAATGCTTGTCTAGGAGCTGTGGGCACTGGGGAACTGGAGGTGACATCATGTTAGGGTCACATGTTCTTGCAGTGGCTCCAGGTTCTATACTTGACTTTGTCCCTAGGAAGGAGCAGCCTGGGGTCCATCACTGCCATAGCCAGGCAGCCAGCAGTGCCCAGCTTGGTCTCGTCCGCTTGTGGCCTGGGGTTGTTTGTACCAGGTAACCTGGCCCATGTGGCGTCTTGTCTGTGTGCCGTCCCCATCTGGCCTCGGGCATCTTGGCAGGGAACACAAGCTGCTGGCCCTGGAGGCCAAGCTGGCTGGGCAAGTGGAAAAGAATGCAAGCCGTGCAGGGACCACTGAAGCCTGGCTACCCTGGAGCTGGGTTTTCCTGCACTATGCTCCTACCCTGTCCTGGAAGTTGCTTTCTCATAGGACCAGTGTCCTGGGACTTGAACCTCGCAGGTGCTTCTAGGAACTGGTGTTCACAAGGCCCAGCTGGGGACACACAGCCTTTGTAGGAGCCTCACCTCTGTTGTGGTTGGGCAGGCTCCAGTGAGCAAGTCACAGCAGGGCAGGTCAAGTTCCTGCCCTCTTCCAGTGCAGTGTCAAGTGGTGTGGGGCATCCACATCCCCAGAGGACAGGTGTGTCTGGTTGCAGAGCCCAGGTGCTCAGAGCTGAACGTCACTTTTTTGGCTAGCCTGAGCCCTTTTCTTACAGCCCCATCCTCCCTCTGTTTGCTGCATTCTATGCAGTATCGTGTCCTCAATGGTTGGCCTCCATCTTTATGTGACTTTGCTGTTTGGAGTCCATTCCCAAACTACTGCTTGTGTCTTGGGATCTGCTGAAGCCGGGCAGTACTTCTGGGCCTCAGGCCAGTCCTCTTCTCAGCCCGCGACCCTGAGCTGGCTGGTGCTCGCAGTGACCAGCTCTGGCCACTTAAGCTTTTCTCTTGCCCCCTCTTGCCCTTGGCCCTGTTCTTGGCCTCTGCCTTGCTGCTTGGGCTCTATGTGGCCAGCTGCAACTGTCTGTACCTGAAGTGAGAAAAGTTTGTCCCCAGCCACATCTGTGCTGATCCCTCAGAAGCCACTTTGCTGCCACCAGCTTCTGCCTCTCCTGCTGTGCCTCCCTCCAGCCTCCTCCTCTGCTCAGCACAGCCTGTGGCCCCAGCTGCATCTCTTGCTTTGCCACAGACTCTGAATCTTCTTGACCAGGGTTGCAGTCTGCTGGCTAGGGTCCATCCTGGAGGCCTTAAGGCCATCTTGGTCCCCTGCCACTGTCCATCATAAGGATAAACCTGTGACTCTTCTGGGCAGCTGGCCTCCGGCTTCCTTCTCCCTCCCCAGGAGGCCAGCTCCACGGCCGCCAGCCCATCGCCTGGGGCCTGTGGATAACCTCTGTCTCTTCTTTGTCACTAGGTGATGGTAATGCCCGAAGGAGTGGACACGGTGTCCAGGCCCAGCCCCGACTACCCCATGTTACCCACAATTCCACTCTCTGCCTTCTCTGACCCCAAGAAGAACAAACCGTCCCACGGCTCCAAGGTTAGTGAGGTGGAAGGCCAACGTTGCGGAGCATGGACCTGGCCACTGGCAATTGCAGGCCATTTCCACCATCTGCTGAGCCTGGCCTGCACACCTGCCGCCTACATCCCGAGCCTCTGCTCCTGATCCTTGTCGCTTCGCTAGCTAGCGTCAAGGAGTAGTGCTTGTGATCTGTCTGTTCTTCCTGCACCCTGCTCCTCTTGAGTCAGGCCTCCTGGGCTCTCTTTCCTGCCCAGCAGTGATTTGGTCACTGGGCAGGGCATCTCCATCAGTGGTCCCTTGGCTACCTTCTAGCTCCAACAAGGCCAGGCCAAACCTGCCCTTGCCACTTCTAGCTCTGCTGGTCAGCAGTGCTGGCCTGGAACCAATTTGGGGGATGCAGGGAATAGCATGTATGCGATTGAGCTGAATCCCAAGGACATGTATTTCGTTCCATCACTTGGCCTTCTGGAAGGTTCTCTGTGGGCCTCCTGGAGCAGCCACCCCAGCCACACGCTGCCCAATGCTATCAGCACCACCATGACATCTGAACCTAGTACCCTGGGCCAATCCCTCACAACATGTGGGCTTGGCCTTTTGGGGACACTTCTCGGCCTGACCTTGTTTATCCTTCATTTCACATTCTTGCTTCACTTGCCTGTAGGGCATTGTCAGCGGGGCATCTGTGAGACTCAAGCACCCTTGGGCTATCTTATCCATGGATACCACAGGAAGAGAAGCAAGCACTAGGCAGGCTCCTTCCAGCCCTTTCCACAAGGCTAGCAGGCCTGTATCATCCTCAAGCTGGTCACATCTTCGAGTCCCAGCCAGGCCCTGATGTCACCCTTGACTGACTTTTGAAGGTTGCAGGAGAGGCCAGGCTTTGCTAGCAGCCTGGGGCTTCTCACTCAGCCATTGTTGTTTGGGGTCCCCAGAAGTGTTGAAGGCTAAGGGTGCTGTGTCTCCTGTGCATGTGCCTCCCTGGTGTGCAGATCTTCTCTACCCACTTCTATGGGTGCTGCCTGGGGCCGCACAGATTTCTAGGCAGCACAGCTTCTTCTCTGTGACTCCTAGAAGCCCCAGCCTTAGAGCATGGTCCAGACCTGAGTGTCAGCCCCTCTACTAACTTGACTGAGCAGTCTCTCATGGCCTGTGGCTGGAGCTAGGACCACCCAGACCTGTCCCCTGGAGGCATAGATTGTGTCACCCTGATGGGCACCAGGCCACCAGCCCTTGGCAGCCTCTCTGAAGTGCCTGTCATCACTGTTGAGGAGAGGGCAACATCGAGCCCGTGAGGGTTCCATCCACACCAACTGCTTTCGCAGTGTTTGAGATTGGGTCTCGCTGTGGAGGGCTAGTTGTGGAACTTCGTAGTTGCCCAGGCATGGCCCTAGGGAAGTGGCTCCTGTCAACCTCTCACAACTGTGGGCACATTCTCGTTGGCCACTCTTGCCTGTAGACTTGTCCTCAGCAAGAGAGGGTGAGGCCCGCCTGCTTTCCATTTCTTGCCTTCCTTGTGGCTTGCTGGGACACAGTCCTCCTCCCTCCAGTTCCTATGGTGCATTCATCGCCCTGCAGTATTCCTTGTTAAGTTTGCCAGGGGCTTGTCCCACCAGCTTGGTGTCCTCTGTGGTACTTTCTCCTGTCTGTGTCCTGGGGTCTGGCCTGCATGGGAAGAGCTGTCACCTGGCGAGCTCTGAGCTATTTTGCCTGGCCACTGCTGTACCTGCTGAAGAGAAGGTTGGAGTGGTGGAAGCACGAGTTGAGCACTCCAGAATGATCTGGTGACTGGGGTGTGGAGAGGGTATGTGAGAGCACTGTCTTTTGGGCTGTGGCCCTGCTGCTGCCGTCGTGGGCACTGGCCTCTGCTGAGCTCTTGCTCTTTGGAGTAGGCACTCCTTCCCACATTCGGGGGGAACATGGGTGCAGAAAGCTGGGCATTCCCCACTGATTTCCATGGCTAGAATAGGACTCTCTGCCTGGGTGGTGCCTCTGTCCCCCTGGGGTGCCCATGCCTGTCAACTGAGCTCTTCTAGTTTTAGAAGAGCCACCTGGGTCATGTGCCTTGTACTGTACCCACCCCATCAGCTTGGAGGTGCTGGCTGCCCAGGATGGTTCAGCTCCAGGATGGGTTGCGAGCACCAAGAATGTGGACTAGGGCCTCGAGAGAGGCTGACCACACCTCCTGGTTGGTGTAGCCTTGGGTCTCCCAGATGCAGGTAGCTGTAGGCGCTGGTGGCCATAGTGGCTACACAGGTTTGTGGGCATAGCTCTACTGTATCTGTTGGCTGTACCCTTTCACTCTACAGGTTCTCTCTACACATTTCAGACAGGCAAATCAGCATTTGCCTGGGCCTGGGTGGTTAAGACCGGCAGCCCTAAGGTGCCGCTAACACATCTTCCTCACCTTCCCTGCCCTTGGCCTTGCAGGACGCCAACAAAGAGAGTGGTAAGGCGTCCAAACCTCACAAGGTGGCCAGGGAGCACCGCGAGCGGCCGCGCAAGGACTCAGAGAGCAGGAGCTGCTCCAAGGAGCCAGAGCGCGAGCCCAAGAGTGCCAAGGACGCTGTGCGCAAGCTGCCCAAGGAGGAGAAGGCCCCAGCACCCAAGGCTGCCTTCAAGGAACCCAAAATGGCCCTAAAGGAGACAAAGCTGGAAAGCCTGTCCCCCAAGGGGGCACCCCAGCCCCCTACCCTGCCCAAGGCCTCCAGCAAGCGGCCTGCTGCCACAGACTCACCGAAGCCCAGTGCCAAAAAACCTAAGAAGAGCGGATCAAAGGGGACACGGCGTGCCCCTGGCACCTCACCCCGCGCCTCCTCCTCCTTCCCTGACAAGAAGGTGCCCAGGGACAAGAGCAGCAGCAAAGGTGACAAGGGGAAGGCAGACAGTGAGGCTCGGGAGGCCAAGCGGACCCAGCAGGCTGAGGACTCAAACTCAGAGGATGAGGCCTCCTTCCGATCAGAGGTGAGCAGGTCGTGCTGGGTGCTGCTTGCCAGTTTGCCATCTCCCCTGCCCATGCAGTAGTAACTGAGGTCCCTAGGTGCTATGGGCCATGTAGTACTGACGTTCAGAACCCCAGCCCTGGTGCCACCCACTGGGCAGGCTGTGACTTTGGTGGCTAGGCAAGCACTGTTGATTCAAGATGAACCTGACAGTTCCCTCTCTGAGGTCCTGCCTTTCTGGTGTGCCTTGACCCTGCTCTCCTCCCATCAGAAGGGAGCCATCCAGAGCTTCTCTGGGAGCCTCCTGTCTCCTGCACCTGTGCCGAGCAGCAGGGTACAGATTCAGTCTACTGTTTTCTGGGGGGCTGTCTGCCTGTGTCAGGGACATGGGCTCCTAGCTGTAGAGGTGAGTGCTCTGTCCCCTGGAGTTCTGGCACTTTGCCTGCTGAGTGCTGGCCACCTTCCACAGTTCTCGGAAGTGTCTCAGCTCTGCAGAGACAGAGCAGAGCAGTCTGTCAGCAGCTCCCAGGGCTTATCCCTCAGGCGCTGGGCTGTGCGGGACCACCTGGGCCAGGGCTCAGCCTCTGCTATATGAAACTGTGGCTCTGGGTAATAAAACACCCTCCTCCAGGTACCAGGGCAGGGCACGGCACTTAGGGCAGCTGCACTTCGCCCGCCTTGCCTGAGCTGTGAGCTGGTATTCTGGTCCCAGGCAGGGAGCTCACAGGCCATTCTATGGGTACTTCCCTCTCAGACTGGAGCAGAGTGTAGACAGTATATGGCCCAGGAGCACCCCAATCAGAGTGTCTGCCACAGCTGCTGTTGTAAGCTTGGTGGCCTCTCCACTGTGCTTGGTCCTGCTGTCCACACTCCAGGCTCTTGTGGTTGTGGGAAGTGTAGTAGGATGACGGTACTCTCTGCTCCTGGGCTCTTTGTGGTAAGAAAGGTGCCAGGTCTGTGGACCACCACAAGCACACTGAGGCCTTGGAGGGGCACCTGTCCCCATCAGCTCCTAGCCTGTGCCTAAGCCTACAGGGCCACTTCCTTATAGGTGGGGAAATTGAGGCTTGAAACTAGAGCCTACCCTGACCTGGTGCAATGTCAGATAGCAGCCATCTTTCTTCATTTTGCTGCCCAGGGAAAACAAATGGGGTTGGGTGTGTTCAAGGGAGGGTGCCCTGGCTCCAGGCCCAGGCTGTGAGGTCCTACCCTGAGAGCCTTACAGTGGACAACAGTCATGGATGGCTAGGACAAGTTCCCTAGGGACTCCTACTGGTCAGTGGAAGGTGGGTGAGGAGAGACTTCACGGGCACACCTGGCCTCCAGTAGGCCAGGCTGCAGTGGGCCCTGAGCAGAACAGTTCTGCCTTTATCCTGGAATGTTCCCTCCCAGGCAGGGGACTCTGCTTTCTGCAGACTAGGTACTGTCCTGCCCCATGTTCTGGGCAGGGCTGAGGGCCACTCAGCTCAGTCCTGAACTCTACCACAACAGGTGTGTTCTGTTTCCACACTCACCTTTGACCAGGGGAAGGGCTGTAGCCACTCGGTCCCAGGTAAGGGACAGGCTCTAGAAGATCTACTAACCTGCTGCTTTTTCTGCTTCCTCCCGTAGCCAGCCTCTTGCTGGTGACCGCAGTAACTAGTCTACCCCCACCGTGAATGTGTGTCAAGATCATGTCCCCCCACCATATACAACATTGCACACTACAGACCTCACACCACAGATCACACCTGAGGTATTGTACACACCACACACACCTTTCCCAGCACTCACTGAAGGACTCAGTGGCAGCCTCCTGCCTTGTCTTGTCCTGGCGTCATTGCCCCCTGGTGGCCAAGTCCATCCCTGTGCAGCCACAGGAAGACCAGGCAAGGTGTGCCTTGCCCCAGGACGTGTAACACACAGCTCCCACCATCACTCCTGTGCATCTGGTGGGTGGTAGGACGGCTTGGGCAGTCTGGACATTTGATTGTCATCACTCAGCCCCAGGGAAGCACGTCCTTCCTGTCCTAGCTCCTTGGGGCCGTGTGGCCGCTTCACTGCCCCTCCTCCGACTGACAAGATGACAGTCTCTTCTCTCCCTCTTTGCTTGCCCTGGCATGGACTGAAGTCGGCCCAGTCGAGCCCAGCCAACGCCAGCTCCAGCTCTGACTCCAGCTCCGACTCAGACTTTGAACCATCTCAGAACCACAGCCAAGGTGGGTCTGAGGGGGAGATGGAGGTGGTAGACGTGGATGGAGGTCGACAGTAGGCACAACCCGGGAGAGGCATGGCTCTCGGGAAACCGGACTGCTTGTTGCTTTAGAAAGACTGGGCCTGGGCTTGCGCTCTTTAGCCAGGCCTTCCTTTGGGCTGGCATCCCTTCTCCTGGGCCATGCTATCAACCGGGAAACCTACCAGAGTTCCTGGTGCTGTGGAGATTGATTGATAAAGACAAGTAGCTGTGGTCACCAGGAGTCATGTCACTCCCTGGGAACCACAGGCCTGTAGCCAGAGAGGTGCTCACTCCTGAGAAATAAATGGTCACTCAGCATTGTAGAGCCAGCCTGTTCTGATCTATCAGGATGATCTATCTGTGTGTTGGGCCTTCCCAGGGGCATTTAGGCTGGCTTCTGTATTCTGCCTCAGCAGACTGGGATCAGGTCCAAGCATGGCCAAGCTGTTTTGATGAGCCTACCTCCCATGGTGGCAGCCTCCTTTGGGGACAGGGGCTTGACTGGGGGATGGGGTCCTTGAAACTCATACTCTCCAAGGTTCTTGCCTGCTAGTTAGGGAGGGAACCAGCTGAATTGGCATCACATGACCAAGGTAATTGAGGGCTTTGTGTCCCTTTGTTGCCTTGGCAACAGGAATATAAACCAAGATGCTGAATGTAGGGGACTGGAACTGGGTGCCTCTGAGAAAGGGGAGGATGGTGGACCCCGAGCGTTATACAGGGTTTCTGAGGCGCTGAGTACCCTCACAAAGGGGTGCAGGCTGGGTGGGGCTGTGGTCCCAGACAGAGCTATGGGCCACCTGGGACTGTGAGCTTTGGCTGCTGTGATGGAGGGGTCTTTCAGGCCAGTCGCAGATCAGGAGCCTGAGACCTGTGAGGAGGGCCAGGAAGGTAGGGGTCGGGGACCCTACAGATGGTGATGAGTCTGGGTGGCCCTGGGGTAGGCAACCAGAGGCTTAGCTCTCCCCTGTCTGCTGCAGGCCCCCTGCGCTCCATGGTGGAGGATCTGCAGTCTGAGGAGTCGGATGAGGATGACTCGTCGTCAGGAGAGGAGACCACTGTCAAGGCCAATCCAGGCCGAGAGTCCAGGTGAGGGGTCTGGGTGGTGCAGAAGCTGTCTGAGTGTTGGTCTTCACTGTCAGGACAGGTTGGGGGACTCTGGAGCTGGCCAGGCTGTCCTTTTGATCATGGCATGCACCACCCTGGCTTAAGGTTAGCTGTCTGCGGAAGAACTGGGCATAGCAGAGGTGTGCTGGAGAGTGGGAGGCATGGGGTCCCGGGTGAGCCAGCATTAAGGCAGCCTTCCTCCATGGTGAGCGTGTCCTTACTTAGAGACAGAGCAGCGTAACCCTCCCCTGTGGTAAGTGTGGCCTTACCCAGGTAAGTCAGGGTTAAGGCAACCTTTCCTCGCTCCTAGTAAGCATGTCCTTACACTGGGTCCCTAGAATGGGAGATCTGCCTGGGGTCTCCTTTTCAGGCCTCCAACAGGCTGAGCACTAGGCTGTGACAGGCAGAACTGGGCATGCTGCTTAGGTTAGTATATCTAACGGTTTACTGTGGAGAGTCCCAGAAACTTTGGCCATAGCTCCTTCCGCATCATCTATGGCTATAGCTTTTGCATATCTACAGTGAGCCACCCGCGCAGCACCCTACACCCAAGAACCATGAGATTCAAGCCTAGCTCCCACAAGGATCTGGCCTCTGCTCACAGAGAGGACTTGACCCTAGGAGAAAAGGGGGAAGCAGGTTCTTGAGAGTCCACAGGCAGTCCCCTCCAAAGGGGCCATAGTTACCCTGTAGGGACATTATCTTCAGGGTCTTTGTGAAGGCCTTGGGTGGGAGCCTGCTAGCCAGCAGAGCTGGAATTGTCCCTGTTGTTAGGAAAGGGTCGCACACAAGGATGCCTTGCTCCCTAAAGAGATCTGAGGCCCAGCATCCCCAGGTGCCACCTGTTGAGCACAGAAAGAGGCTGAAGTAAGGGGAGCCTGAGGCTGTGGTTGCTTGGTAACAGCCTGGCCTGGAGCCCCACTTGTGGCCTTAGAGCAGAACCAACTGACTGGGAGCTGAGGGAGGAAATGCTGTCCTGGTGATGGTTCAGTGGGTAAAATCACTTGCCACCAGGCCTGAGGACCTGGGTTTGAGCCCAGAGCCCACATGGTGCAAGGACTAATGCTGGGCTTGTTGGAACCAAAGTGTGCTGTTGAGTGTGCCAGGAGACGACTGGCACACTGTGCTTGCCCGGGGTCCCTCAGGAACTTCTTGCATACCCTGTTACTGAGAGGATGGAAGCAGGAGTGGGCTGAGAGTGTATCTAATCAGTGAGTGACGACCGGACATGTTCTAGTCAGGGCACCATGTGATTCAGTACTACTGCCTGCTGTGGGCTAAGATACCTGTCACTTGGGTACTCAGATCAGACATCATTTTGTGTGATATCTGCACAGACTGCTTTTCTGGAGGGGTTACAGCAGGGCTGCAGCAGGGGCTAAGACTTGCCCCTAGGGTCTCTGGCCCTCAGCACACACCCCTGCTAAGGACAGCGACCAGCAGAGCTGGTCACTAAAGTGTTCAAGGTCAGCATGGGGTCTTCTGCAGCTAGGGGCAGGTCAGACAGCTCTGGAGCTCAGTCAGGGGTGAAGGCAGGGCAGTGTGAACATGGGGCACTCCATTCCCACCAGTGTAGTGTAGCATGAGTCAGCTCTGACAGCACCCTGCCTTCTCTTTAGGCTGAGCTTCAGCGACAGTGAAAGTGACAATAGTGCTGACTCCTGCCTGCCTGGCCGCGAGCCCCCGCACCCGCAGAAGCCACCTCCTCCCAGCAGCAAGGTGAGTGGGGTCAGGCTCTGAGCCGGGCCCTATGGTTATCCTGGGAGAGTTGGGGGGTCGTGCTAGAGCTTACAGGTCTGGGGTCCCCACAGGTTTCTGGCCGGAGGAGCCCCGAGCCCTGCAGCAAACCTGAAAAGATTCTGAAGAAGGCTACCTATGATAAGGTGGGCGTGTCTGGGCCTGTGAGGATGGGGGCGGGTGGGGCCTGGAGCTGTACTGTGCCTGAGTGACCACAGCCCATTGACAATACTTCTCCCCAGGCTTACACAGACGAGCTGGTGGAGCTGCACCGGAGGCTGATGGCTCTGCGTGAGCGCAATGTGCTGCAGCAGGTACTGCGCCTTCCCCTCCCGGGCCTGGGCATGGGGCACCCAGCTCTGTCCTCTGAGTCCACCAAACCCACCTTACAGATTGTCAACCTGATTGAGGAGACTGGTCACTTCAACGTCACCAACACCACCTTCGACTTTGACCTTTTCTCCTTGGACGAGAGCACCGTTCGCAAGCTGCAGAGCTGCCTGGAGGCCGTGGCCACATGACCCCGGCCACCACTGTGGAGCCACGGTGGGCATGGGCACGGGAGGGGCTGGGCATGAGGGCTGGCCCGCCATGACTCCCGCTCCCGGTACCACCCCCAGCTCACCATGGTGCCCTGGTACCCCTCAGTGGTTGGTGTTAAAGGGGCTGTGGGCCACACTTCCACAGGAGGGGGTGACACAGGACACATGTGGCTTGCAGCCCCTTGTTTATTCTGCCAGTTATCCACTGTGGGTGGGGCTGAGTGGCAGGTTATTGCCTGAGCCTCTCTTGAGTGGCCAGGATGACCACAGTCTTCCATGCAGTTCACAGACCTCCCTCTGTGGCCTGCCTCCTAGACTCGAGGGTCTGTCAGCATGGCCAGGGCTGCCTGGCAGGCCCCGTGCCTGGTGTCCTGCCATGCAGCCTTGTGTATTGTGTGTGCTCCAAGTGTGTCTAGCAGCTGGGGAGGCTCATGCCACCCCCTGCTGGAGGCATGGAGGATCTCCCCTCTAGATCCCAGGATGCCACTGCCTCTCATGGCCCCAGGCCAGTGAACACTACGATGGGCACCAGTCTTGGGCTCCCAAGGGCCACCTCTGTAGCCATGTGCCAGCCAAGCACCCACAGTTCCAAGGCTGGCCGTGCTGGCACGCCTGGGCCACCATTTCCCATGGGCCACCTCCTCTGTTCTCTCGCTGATCAAGTCTTTGAACTTTGAAAACGAGCTTTTGCCAAATATGATAGGATGGTGTGTGCGAGGCGGGCCCAGCCCCAGACTGCCTCTGTCCCCAGCCAGATGGCCTCTGTCTCCACAGTGGGCCTTGAGAGGCTTTGGGCTTATGCCCTATAAACTGCCGAGGGCCGGGCCAGCCCCTTTCCCATGCCTGAGCCTGGAGTACCACCCCAACCCCAAGTCCAATTGTTGTCAGTGTTCGTGCCCCAAGGTGTTTGAAAGTGGCCAGAGCCCAAGCTGGCTCACAGTTGCCTCTCTGATGTTGCTTCCTCCCCAATGTGGGTTCACCCCTGGAGGCCTGGCCTCCCAGTTCCCTCTCCCTGTCAGGAACACCCCAGCCTCTAAGGCTTCCCTTACCCCCAGGAAAAGGAGAGGCCCCCCACCCCCACCCCAGCCCCTTTCTGACTCCCTCCAGCTGAGGAGGCAGGGCTTGGGTCCACATCTCTTCCCAGACAGGCCGACAATACTCTCCACCAGGCGTTCTGCAGCCTCCAAGCCTTTGGTCAGAAGGCCCTGGCATCGTGGCAGCTGTCGGCATCCACAGGGAATGTGCCAGGGTCACAAACAGCCTCAGCCCAGGGTACCGTTCTTCCTCTTGCGGTCACCAGTGGCCCAGCCCTCTTGATACCCTGGGCCTCAGTGTCCAGCCCTTCCAGATGCTTCCGGGGCCCTCCTGGAAGCACCCACCCATCTCAGTTACCTCCTCTGGCCAGAAGGCCACACCACTGTCCTCCAGAGCCACTCTGGGGCCCATACTGGCTGTCTGGAAGCCTAACGAAGCAGCTTGCACCCAGAGCCCTGAGGGCTCTAGGGACCGGTCCATAGGAAGGGGTGGCACCAGGACCACCCCCATCCCGAGTCCCTGTGCTGCAGCCTCCTGAACCAGCTCACCACACTGGGTGCAAAGGTATTGGATACCTGTCCCTCCCCAGGGCTTCACAAGACATGTCTCCAGGAATAGACATGTCACCGGCCCAGACGAGCCCTGGACAGAGGGACAAAGAGAGCCGTATTTGTAATGAGCTGCAGGGCTGTTTGTCCCGCATTTTAAACTTTTTGTTAAATTGTGAAATTATGGAGGAGTTTTATAGAAAATAAAGTGAGATGGGAGTAGTGGGTTGCCCACCTTTGATTCAGTCACACTGGAAAGAGCCACACCAGGAGCCTGGGGGGAGGCAGTTGTGCTCTTCCCTTGGGAACAGGTATTGAGGGCTGGTTACAGACATAGCTTGGGGTTGCAGAGGGGTGGGTGGGTCGACAGAAGGGTGAAGATGGGAAGGAGGGGGTGGAGTGGAAAGAGGGCACCTTTTGCAGGGACCCCCAAGTTCCTGCACCTTGTAGAGCCTTGAACCTCTGGTGTCACCCTCACAGGACCTACTTTCACAGACTTTGGATATGGGTGGCATACAGAAACCCAAATCCTTGGCCACCATGCCCATAGGGCAGCCACCTCTTGAGTCCTGTTAGCAGGTAGTAGTAGCTGGGGATTCATGCTCAGCAGTGAAAATGGACTCTTCTCTGGCCTCTAGGGCTTGACACTTCCTTCCCAAACCACTTTGCTTATCAGGTACAGCTCGCTAGACATGGTTCCAGAAAGCTGTTGTTGTGGGAACTGTCAGACGAGTGTTCACTTATGTTTGCTGTCTACACCAGGTGGCAGGGGCCCTGCAGAGAGATCCATGGGCAATTCAAAAAATCTGAGAGCTGGGAGACATTGAAAAAAAAATCACTGTATAAGCTTGGGAACCTGGGTTCCATTTCAGAATCCACAGTCCATGTGTAATGAAGTGTGTGTGTGTTGGGAAGTGATTGGGAAGTGCTGGTGTGGGCCAGAGGACAGCTAGAGCTGCAGATCCTTGTGAGCTGTGTGGTGTGATTGTGGGAGGGCAGCAGGCACTCGTCAGCACTGAGCCCTCTCCACCCCATCCCCAAACAAGGCAGCAAAAGGGGGCTCTCTAGAGCTCACGGACAGCCAGTGAGTTCAGTGAGAGACCCTGTTGTATTTAAAAAGATGAGAACAGTTCCCAAATGAGAACAAAGGTTTGCTGTCTGGTCTCCACAAGCATACATGTGCACTGTTTTTATTAAAGACATGTATGCACATAAAGTTTGAATTTACTAAATTTGGACTTAGCCAAGTTTGTTGGGAATCTGGATCACTGAATAATACTGTCTGTGGCTATAACAAATGACCTGAGACTAGGTAATTTGTAAATAAGAAAAGATTTGTGTGGCTTGCAGTTCCGAAAGTGAGTTCCAGTCAGGCTGCTACATCAGCTTGGCTTCTGGCGAAGTCTTTATGTACGTTCCGTGAGTGCCTGAAGAGTTGGTGTGCACATGAAGAGATAGGGCTGTGCACCCAGAATCCCCCAACCTCCCAACAGCCATGGAGAGCCAAGCTCTGTGAGAGTGCTGCTGAGGGCAGGCCATGTTCCAACTGCAGCCTCGCCCTCTTCACACTCCAGTCATTTTTTGTTACAGTGGTTTTGTTTTGAGACAGTGTTGTGTGGCCCAGGCTAGCCTTGAGCTCCTAGTCCTCCTGCCTCTCCCTCCTGAATGCTGGGCTGGCAGGTGTGCACCCCACACTGGTCTGTATGGTACTGAGGATGAGAGCCCAGGGCTCTGCACTAAATGAGCACTTTGCCCTGCACTCAGCAGCAGCCTGTGGTAGTGCTTACTCAGCTAACGTCCCAGTGGTGGTGATATCCCTTGAGGGATCATTGATGTTCTCATGTGAACATGACTGCTGTCCTGGAGGCCAACCCGTCCCCTGAGCTCAACATATTCTTTCTCATGTGTGTTCTTGCCAGTGTCCCCTACCTTATGACACAGCTACAGGACTATACCAAAGCCTCGCCTTGAAACTTTACCACGAACCACTAGTCTGTCTCACACAGAGGTGTCCCTTCCTACTAATGCTGGTCTGGACTGCCAGCATTGTCTAGATCATCATCTCCACCTCCAGACAGGTACAAGAACTACCCATACTCAGGGTTTTGGTTTTTTTTTTTTTTTTTTTTGAGGATGAAGTCAGGCTGGGAGCCAGAAACCCGAACCGTGCACTTTGTTACAACTTTCTGGGTAATGCGGATTCACTCCAGATGGGGTCCCCATGACGGACCAAAGACATCAGCTAGCTTAGAGAGTCAGGGAGATTGATACTTGGAACTGTCACCATGAGCCCACTCCAGCATGGGTGCCCATTTCAAGCTGTCTCTGCTGACTCCCAGGCCTCAGGAAACTTGTTTCTTCCAGAACCTTCTGGGTGTCATTTCTTCCTACATTTTAATGAGACTGACAGGACACCAGGAGATGCGTTCCATTTCCTCCGTTGTAAATGTGTGTGTGCTCGCAGGCTGCCCCAGCTCATAGGAAGTTCCCTGAGGTCCTAAGCTCCTATCAGAACGTGTTCAGCCACATGTCCCAGGGCTACTTCAGCACATGCTGTCTTGAACACGTCACAGGCAGAGGCCAGTCTAGTCTACATAGTGAATTCTAGGACATTCAGGACTACACAGAAACCCTGCCTTGGAAACACAAAAACTGAAGAGTTGAAGCGCATTAATGTAGTTTGAGGTGTTGAGAGCATGGGTAGGGGTGGGCAGTCCCTCCCAGCTGGTTCTGATGAAGACAGCACAAGATCTCCTAAGTCTGCCCATAAGCGTCATGCCCAAGGGCTGCTGTCAGGTCCCTTTACCAGAGTTGCAGCAGCTGGAAGTATTTGCACTGTAACTGTAGGTCTCAGAAATTCCTCAACTTCTCATTTAGTATAGTGTATAAGTGGATTAGAAGCAGCTCAGTAGTTAGGAGCGTTTGCTGCTCTTACAGAGGACCCACATTCAGTTCCCAGCACCCATATGGCAGCTCACAACACTATAACTCAAGCTCCAGTCTAGAATCCCCAGTGAGGGGTTGGGGGTGTGGTCAGGGTGGAGTCCCACCTAGAATACCCCAGTGAAGGGCTGGAGGCCTGACTGAAAACTATCCTGGTGTAAGGGCCTGGGCACCAGACTATGGCCAAGAGAAAAAAGTGTAGTTTTCAAAGTAAAAATAAAGTCTAGGGTGGGAGCCATTTCAGTTTGGGAGTTTTGCTTGAGGTGTCAACATGATCCCTGGGTCAGAGGTCACTACAATTTAGGATCTTACCCAGGCATCTGAGGGGCCTCGGCCCTGCTGAGCAACTGGGCAGTGTCCTGGACCTCCACCCACTTCACGTCAGTCACGACAGCTAGATGTCACCCAGTGTCCCTTGACAAAATCACCCCTGGGTGAGAGTCACCTCTTAAGTGAACACATTTAATTTTTACAATTGATCCCAACTCTAGAGGGCAGGATATGCCTTCTGCCCAGGTCCTCACCCAGAGCACTTCCCCCACTGTAGAAATTGTCCTTTAATAGGCAGAATGAAAACCACGAACTACCAGCACCTGAGTGAAGACGGGCTGCACGGGGCTGCTAGGTGCTTATCTCGTAGAACTTCTGGATGTCTTCCTGGTATATCTTCGTCACAATGGTCCTGTTCAGTTTGGACATGGGCCCTGTGACAAAAGCAAGGCTGTGAGAGTCTCCTCGTATTCTACCCCAGGAGTTCACAGACGCCTGAGCCATGTGCATGTTAGGGGTGCATGGGAACGGGGGTTGGGAGAGAACTGGAGAGTAGAAACCCACTTTAAGGTACCTCGTGAGTCCTTTCCTTCAGTCATGGGCCAGTGGTTAAAACGGGCATAGAGATGCCACCCCAGGGACCCAGGATCCAAACAGCCTTGTACAGTATTTTGTGGGCCCAGCCCCAAATCCTCCAACACTCAGATGCTGCCTCTGCACCCCCCCCCCAAAAAAGTCAGGAATTATGTCTGGAGTTGACCCATCTTCATCTGTGATGAAAGTGTTGGGATTGGGATCAGCACACTGCATTTTGTACAAGCAGGGATTGGGTGTTGGAGGTGTTTTTAAAGGTTTATATTACACTATGTGTTCCTGTGTGTGTGCATATGGAGGCCACAAGTGGGCGTCAGATCCCTAGAGTTGGGGTTAGCAGGTGGTTGTGAGCTGCCCAGTGTGTGTGTGGCCACTGGAAACAAAACTTGGATCTTCTACAAGAGCAGCAGATCCTTTTAACCTCTGAGCTCACCCGGCCCAGGGGGCGTCAGATGTGGAAGTGTGTACTCACCCGGCCCAGGGGGCATCAGATGTTGTGCTTCATCACTCTCAGAGGGGCTCTCGCTCAACCCTGAGCTAAGCTGCTTGGCAGCGAACCCCAGGGATCCTCCTGTCTCTGTCCCCACAGCACCCGTTTTTATGTGAGCCCATGTGGTCCTCATGCACCAGCTCCCTTAGCCCACCTAGCTAGCATCTCCTGAGAGCTCCCGATGGGTTTGGTTTGGTTTGGTTTTTTTCCCAAAGCAGAGTCTCACTATGTACTGGCTGTCCTAGAACTCACACTATAGACCAGGCTGGCTTTGAACTCACAGAGATCTGCCTGCCTCTGCCTCCTGAGTGCTAGGTTAAAGGTGTGTGCCTCTACTTCTAGCCCCACCCCCGGTTTTTGGAAATGGTCTCATTCTTTGACCTGGTGCTGACCAAGTAGGCAAAGATGATGGTTCAGGGAGGATCAGGGATTCTCCAGTCTCAGCCTCCCCAGCCCTGGGAGAGAAGTCAGTGGTTAGAGCACTGCTGCTCCTGCAGAGGACCTGGGTTCACTTCTCAGCACCCACATGGTACCTCACAACCACTGTGACTCCAGTCCCAGGGAATCTGACGCCCTTGTCTGGCCTCTGTGGGCACAGGACAGACATGGTAGTTCATTCATACATTCATACACATAAAAATAAAAGTAACCTTAAAGGTCAAACACCATGCTCTGGTTTGTTGTTTGCTTGTAAATGGCGTCTGGGGACTCAAATGAGTCTTCATGGTTGCACAGTCAGCACCCTTACAAACTGAGCCATCTCCCCAACCCCAGGGAGACAGGATCTCACTCTCACTCTACCCTGGGCAGCTCCTGAACTCTAGATTCTCCTGCCTGGCTCCCTCGTGCTCGGCTCATAGGTGTGTACCACTACACTTGTTTTAAATGTGTTTTGTTGGAAAAATCAGCTAAAGCCACATGACCACAGACCCTTCCCATACTCAGCGGAAGCCTGGGGCTGGGAGGCCGAGTGGGCCCATGACCCACCCATGCCTGCCGTTCACTCACCGAGCTCCCCACCGCCAACAGAGAAATCGCTGTCTAGAATGACCCACTTAATGATCTTGGCGCCCTCCGAGGGTGCCTCCGCATTCACGTCCTGGATGCCCTGGTTGATGAACTCTGTGACCAAGGGGTCACGGTTTTCTAGGACATCTGTCAACCATGTGGACCGGCTCCGCAGCTTCCGGCAGCAGGCCACGGCCTCACTGGTCAGGGCGCCCCGAGCCTCTCCAGTCTCCGGATTGATCTGACACTGCGGAGGCAGGCGGGCAGAGTTGGTGTTCTGTGAGCATCCTTCCGGGCCCATTCCCATGGTACGCACGTCCTTCAGGCTGCAGTGGCCAGTGTATCAGAAAGTCCCGCCAAACCCACTAGGAAGGGGCAGAGCATGCAGCTCAGAGGCCATTCAAGCCTATAGAGGCATCTGGGAGTCCTCGCCTTCCACCATGTGTGTCCTGGAGATGGAACTCAAGTCATCAGGCTTGGCACTGAGACAGCTCTCCAGTGCAGCCCACCTTCCCCTCTGCCTGGCTGTGGTTGATATCCTCAACTTGGTACCTTGATGCCAATGGCCCTATGTTCATGCTTTGAGGGACACTGGTCTACAGGGAATATTTTTTATGCTCTGAGGCACTCTGCACCTCTCCACAGAACCCACAGCCGGAGCTGGGGTGTGACTCCACAGGAAAGCTGACAGAGGGTAAATGTTCAGTGTTGACAGAACAGGGTCTGCAGTCACCACGACAACACACCCCTGGAGTGTGTCTGGGTTTCCAGCATAACGGAGAATATGGGCAGGGGTCCCTGGGGGGAGCAGGGCTGAGAGGTGACTCAGTGGGTGAAGGCCCTGCTAGGCCAAGGCAGTGGGTTCCATCTCTGGGACTGTGTACAGGTGGGAGGAGAGGATGCAGTCCACACAGGTGTTGTGGTACATGAACACAGACACTCAATAAAAAAAAAATTAAAAATTAAGCCAGACGATGGTGGTGCATACCTTTAATCCCAGCACTCAGGAGGCAGAGGCAGGCGAATCTCTGTGTTCAAGGCCAGCCTGGTCTACAGAGTGAGTTCCAGGACAGCTTGAGCTACACAGAGAAACCCTGTCTTGAAAACTAAAGCCAAAACAAAATGTGTGTGTGTGTGTGTGTGTGTGTGTGTGAAATTCAGAGAGTATCAGTGCATTCCTCTGGCACTGTCCTTTTTTGGTTTGAGGCATGGTCTCTCGTTGGCCTGTAGGCTCGCCGGTGTCCCCAGCACTGGGACCATACAGTGTGCTCCAGCGTGCCCAGGCTCCGGTACTCACTTTATGGACCGTCTCCCCTTGCCCTTCAATGGCTCTAGTTAGGTATTTAGTCACAGAGACAACAGCCACTAAAACGGTGACTGAGGAGCTGAATGACTCCCATCCAGCCCATCTCATTCGGTACTGTCAGGGCCTTGCTCTGGGGGAGCCGCTGGGTACCTTTAACGTGAGGAGGGCGCACAGGTATGGGGCATCCTGGCCCACCAGCATCACGTAGCGCACGATGGGGATGCGCGTCTTCACTCGCTCCTCAATGGGACTCGGGTTGACCATTTCGCCTGAACTCAGCGTGATTATATCTGTGGCAGGAACGAGAAGCGTTTGTCTCTGAAAAGGCACATCGAGTGGTTTCTTGGGGCTGCGTGGGGTACATCCCCCGACATCCCCTCCTGGAGGGAGTGGGGCCAGCTCTTCTTCCTTGTGTCATATGCAGCCTGCACCTCAGTGCCACGTTCCTCACCGTTGCTGTTCCCCATGACATAGAGGAACTTGTCAACGTCCAAGAAGCCCAGGTTGTTTGTGTGTAGCCAGCCCTGGTTGTCCATCTTCTTCTCCGTGCTTGCCTTGTCATTGAGGTACCCCATGAAGATGTGGCGGCCCCACAGACACAACTTTCCGATGCCTTCGCGGTTCTCTTTTTCCACCTTTGTGTGACAGTTGGGCAGTGCCTTCCCACAGCTGTGGGCGTGGAGGGGATAGCAGGGATGGCATGCTCCCCACCAGGACATGATACCCCTAGGGCCTCCCCTGTCTCCTCCTCTCCTACCCCTTTACTGTCTCTCAGTCAAAACAAAACAGTGCAGAAAAAAATGAAATAATTAAGGTTAAGGTGCCAACGTGCAGTCAGGACATACAACCAAATGTCCCCCTGCCTCCTCAGGATCAGACCGAGGCCCGACAGGCTGGTCATCCACATCTCTCCACTGGGCGCATCCTAAACAACCAATCAGAATGGGTTTGCTGTTTTAGCATTCAGCCCAAAGCTGGATGTGATGACACCTGCCTGTCGTCACAGTGCTTAGGAAGTTGAAGCAGTAAAGTTTACTGTGTGAGACTAACCATAGCTGTGCAGGAAGATCCTGTCTCAGAAAACAAAATGCAACAAAGCCAGGGAAGGGGTAGGGGTTGGTGGTGCACGCCTTCTATCTTAGGACTTAGAGACAGAGGAAGGCAGATCTCTGAGTTCGAGGACAGCCTGGTCTACAGAGTGAGTTCCAGGACAGGCTCCAAAGCTACACAGAGAAACCCTTCAAAACTGCTGTGTCTCTCCTCAAGCACAACCCGAAGCAATGTGGAGAGAGGCCCCATCTCCCAGTCTGTTGCCAGGCTTGCTCTGAGGGAGGTTGCCCTTCGTGTGTGGGTGCCCAGCACCTGCTTGGTACTCAGAGGGACCTGGATTCCACCTCCTCTCACCTCTGCCCCTCGCCGCAGAGAGAAACATCCAGGAGAAAGGTGAAGGGAAGCTTCGCCCACGGGACGCAGCAGTCCCTTGCTCAGGGGTAGCCTGGATCCCGGGGACCCCTGACCAGCTGCTGTCCCGAGGGATGGGGAGGAGACAGAGCCTCCCACCCGACCCACCTCAGGAGTCGGAAAGCCTGGTGGCTGGACAGAGTGTGCAGTCCACTGCTCTCGGTCAAGCCGTACAGCTGAAAGATGGGGATGTTCAGGCTGAGGAAGAAGTCCACCGTGGCCCTCGGCAGACCCAGACCCAGGTTCAGGAACTGCTGGCAATGGTTGAGACCCAGGAACTTCCTGGCAGGGTCGAAGGTCAGCCTCTTGGCCAGGCCGAAGCACAGTGGCTGGTGGATCTGCCTTTAGAAGCAGAGCCATGGCCACAGTGTGATTGCTGCCCCGCCCCCAGTCTCCGTCCTCCCTGCCCCCAGCGCCCACCGCACCCCTGCAGCCGCCTCCTGTGGGTGCTGAGTCCCACACGCATGGCCCAGCGGTCGATCTTCCTGCGGAAGGCAGTGGAGTCCAGATGTTTGGTCTTCAGGTTGTCCAGCATACGGTCCCACACCCACGGGATGCCGCAGAACGTGGTGGGCTGGACTTCGTGGAGCATCTCTGTTAGGAAGCCCTGGATGGGACAGGATGGGGCGCTGGGGGACCCCCACGCACACAAGGGTCATGAGGTGAGAAGCTTCAGCATGGGGGCCAGGATGGGCCAAGGACAGGGCAGGTGACAGGCAGCGCCAGGCCACAGAGGCCCCTGTCCCGAGTGAGGGAGAGAAGAAAAGGGCCAGAAACGGGGAGGACAGAGGCTGTACCAGCTCTTGTTAGTTCACCCCATGCTCATGCCTGCCTCAGCTGGCCCAGAGACAAAGGATCCTTAGCCCCCTTTCCTTTGCTGCCCTCACCCCCAGAGCTCACCGTGCCAGGGGCTCGTGGTGGTCCACTCCCCTTCCCTGCCTCCGATGAGGGGAAGTAGACTGTTCCAGCCACATAGATGGCCACCCACACATCCAAGATCTGGACCCCAGCATAGCAGAGCGGCAGGTAGCTCACAAGGACCTCCTGACCATCAGGCGGAGACTTGTACCCCAGGCTCTGAACGGTGGCTGCTGTGGTCCATGTGATCTGAAAGGCATTTCGCTAAGTCAGGCCTGGATCCTTAGTTCCAGAAGCCACCACGCTGGACCGGTCCTTCGGGTCCCTCGGGGAGCAGCACTCACGTTGTCGTGGCTGAGCATCATGACCTTTGGGGTCCCTATGGTGCCCTGGTTGTACACCAAAGCACAGCACTGGTTAGGCTTCTGTGAGTCGATGATTTGGTCCAGTTTTTCATCCGAGATGCCATCTGCGAGGTCCAGGAAGCCTTTCCACTGTAGAAAGGCTAGCCAATGGGCTTTGGGGGAGTCAAGGCTAGCCAGAGACCCACCCAGCCCAGCCACCTCAGCTCCATCTGTACCCTGGATATCAGTCAGGAAAAGGAAGGCCATTTGATAAATGTTCCAAAATAGAGGAACTACAAGAACGTAGTGCCAGACACGTAAGGACACACACTTAAAGAATCCCACTTGGGGTGGGGAAATTAAAAAAAAGAATCCCACTTTGGCTTCGCTGGACTCTCAATGTCACCCAGCACCAGGCTTGGCCTCTCTGGGCCTGTGGTTGGCTTTCCATCTCTGACGTCCCTGTCTGGGCATACCGAGTATAGATTGGGCTGTACTTCCTGGATGTCTTCTCTGTATTGTATGATGGCCTTGAGATGCTTCAGGTAGCCCTGGATCTGCAGGACACCATGGGGTCAACACCAGCAAAGGGGGGATGCCTGTAGCTCAGGCTGGACTCAAACTCATTATATAATGGAAAGTGACCTTGAAATCCTGATTGGTCTTACTACCACAGACGGTTTCCATGTTGCTGGGCATGGAAGCCAGAGCCTCATCCATGCCAGGTAAGTACTGTGCCCACCAAGCTCAGTCCCAGTGTTGAATGTATGTATGTGTGTGTGTGTGTGTGGTTCTTAAAATACATATTCTTTTTAGTTTTATCATATGTGCGTCTGCACTGCTCATGTACAAAGTGGAGGTCCAAAGGGGGCATCCAGAACTGGAGCTACAGTAGGTGGTCCTGAGCCCCTGTGTGGGTGATGAGAACCCAACCTGGGTCCTCTGCAGGTGCGGCCAGAGGAATGCTGCAAGTGCACCCGCTTCTGAGCCAGCTCGCAGGCCCCTGCCCCAGCAGGCCCCACTGCTGAGACACGCCACCAGCCCGGTTTCTTACCATTCGTTTCTGTTTCATTTCACTTATGACTCTGTGTGTGTGTGTGTGTGTGTGTGTGTGTGTGTGTGTGTGTGTGTACATGCACGAATGCGCATGCTCACACATGCAAGGCATTGCTGTTTTCCTCTATTGCTCTCCACCCATAGAATTTTTAAAATTTAGTTCTCTTACTGTGTGCATGATGCAGGCAGGCATGGTCATCCGGGGTCCCAGACCCCATGGACTGCCCCACAGAGTCCCAGATCTACATACCTGAGTGGAGGGGCACAAGCTCACTCAAGCATGTGGCTGGGGCAGGCCTGGCCTCTCTCCCCACTCCCTCTGCTTTGCTAGAAACCGTTAGATTGCATTGCTAAAGCTACGTGCCAAGGTCTGTTCCCTTACTTGCCCACTTTCTCCTTCTGTGACTGACTACCAAGGTCCAGCTATCAAAGTATGGAAGTACAGCAGTCAGAACCCCCCTTTGGCTTACTTAATTAACATGGACAATTAAAATTAAACACCTCTTCCTACCAGGGTTTCCTGTTTTACCTTTATAAACCTCAATTTTCCTATTGGGTCCTGTCCTTTGTCCTCTGGGACAAACACCCTGCCCCTCTCCCTGTTTCCTTCCTCTGCCTTCTCTTTGTCTCTCAGTTTTGGGTGTCTTATGCCGATACCTGTCCTTTCCCTGAGAGCACCCAGAGCCCCGTGCGCCCCAGGCTCTCACCTGGTTGACTTTCTGGAGCTGTTTGTCATTGTCCACCAGGATGATGTCCATCTCAGAGGCCTCGGCAATGACCTGGCAGGCTTTGGGTGAGTTGCTGCACAGGATACCCACAGAGATGCCGCTGGAAGCAGAATTCAGGGGCTGCAGACCTCGTGAGTGGGGGCTTTGGGGAACTGTGTGGTTCTTGGGGTCCTTCATGCCTCCTTGAAAGGTGGGGTTCAGGGTAACCCCTTTCAAAGCTTCCACTAATGTTCCACGTGAGCTCAGGGATGGCTCAGTGCTAGGATATTGAAAGAATATCTAGAGGCGGGGGCATGAATGTTGGGCTCCAGAGAGTGTATATGAGTTTGATGGGGGAGAAATTGTCTGGAAGGGAGAATGAGCAGACTAAGGGCTGTGTCAGTGACAAACCCTGTCAAGAACCGACTTCCACCTGGGCCAGGCTAAGTGCCCCTTACCCTGCCATGATGGCTCCAATGCTGGCAATCACCCACTCCGTGGAATTGAAGCCCATTATGCCCACACCATGGAAGCGTTCCAGGCCCACCTGAGAGAGGAGACACCTTTGAGAGACTCGGCTCAGCTATCCTCACCCTGACTTCACAGGAGTCTTTAGCTGGTAATCTCAGCCTCCTTCCCTGGACCATCCCTTCTCCAGCACCAGGTGCCACATAGTAGTAGTGCTAAGTGGGGCATTTCCACCACACTCTTCCGTACCCATCTGCCCACTGCCTGTTATCCTCAGTGCTATCCATCCACCACCCACCCACACATCCATCCATCTAACCACACCCACCCAACTACCCACCCACAGTCCATCCATCTAACCATCCACCCACCCAACTACCCACCCACACATCCATCCATCTAACCACCCACCCACCCAACTACCCACCCACACGTCCATCCATCTAACCACCCACCCAACTACCCA